TACATTAATATAATGAGTTACATGAATTACTGCAGGGACCTACAGCTAGGACTACTTTATCCTCGGCCTAATACTCTCTTTATCCTCGGCCTAATACTCTACTAGAGTAGGCTAACAGACCTCATCTAGATTTATAGTAGCGATGTAAGACGTGGAAATGTTAGTAGTGGGAAAGATAGTTGCCCGCTTGTTGAATCTTGCTATACTATAATGTGATGTGGAAGGGTGATCTGGAGGGGGAACTCTTTATTTTGTTACAAATGGAAAGTTCACATTATGATTTTATTAATTAATTTATAATATATAGAACGTTAAATTGATATGAATAAATTTAATCTAATGAAAGATTTAAGAGCACAATGACTATTAAAAATTGCACATATGGGTGATTTGTCACCCCGTCCAAACTAATAATTAGCTATGACGAGCAGCGAAATACTAATTATTGATAATGAAATATTTTTATCTAAATCAATTCATATGTCTCGTAAAAAATCAAGTAAAAACTAAAAGAAGCACAAAATATTTCGTAAATCTAGATAAGAGACTAATTAAAAAGCTAAAAAGAAGTTTCATAGTATGTTCTAACATACATACTGCATACGGTAAAGTATATACAGTACATAATGATAATTATTGTATCTTATATTCAAAATAAGTCAAATTATTGTAATAAAATTCTAAATAAATTCGGTAATCTGAAATTTTTTGGAAATGACCAATAAATTTGGTGTTTATTATTTAATCAGCTCAGAAAATCGACCATTGATTGTGGTTTTTGGAATCGATACTCATCCCAATTTATGAACTCTTTTGTTGTGTCCAATTTCAGGTCGTAATTATTAGTGAGTTAAATTCTTTATAATGGTAATTTTTATAATGAGAGAACTGGTAAATTCCCTAAAGACAGTTTATTAGCTTTCATGAGTAGAAGGGGTTTTTATAGTTTAAAGGTTTAATTAGATTTGAGGGTTTTAGTAAAGAAAATATGTAAACAGGATTTATTGATTATAATAAGTCCTAAGTAAAGTTTATTATAAATAAAGGCGTTATCACCCCAAGAAAAAAAATGTTTCGTTTGCTTCACTAATAACCAAGTCTCAAAGTTATCAAATACATTGCCCATAACATTGTATAAAAATACTATTGCGCAAATACACTTTTGAACCCTAAAGTTATAATTTGTCGATCATTAAGCCCTTGTTCATGTGACCTAGCATTGCTGACTCAGAGTAACTGAAGCCTTAAATCACCCACCAGCCAAATTTAACACACCTCTTTCGTAAAGTTACTACCTGCAGGTTACGCGAGTTTTTGGATTGTGAAGTGACCGATTCGTAGCTATTCCGCCCATAACAATATCTCCATTCTTATTATATCATTGTTTACGTTCCTAGTTTTTAGCGAGATGGCATTTCGCAGCTAACTTATTTATTAATTAATTTGAAATGATTTTAATTTTCAACATTATCGATCTAAAAATATATAAAGAAAACTGGAAATTTTTATGACTACTGGCTAAACAAGGCAAGTTCTAGTATACTAATGAATATTATACTAAAGAATTAGAATTTGACAAGAAATCTTTGGAATTGTGACTTTTTGTGTGACACTTTTGATTTCCATGTTATTGGCGATCATCTGCCGATCACAGTAATTTGAAAAACACTATTATTCTTGCTCGAATCAGTTTATTTATATGAAAAAAACACTATAGGAGTAGTGCCGCACTGCGGCTCTGACTTTACATACTCCATTATTTAAAATTATACTTTACACTCTACAGGACTATTAGTCATATGACGATAGTACTTGGATCCGGTTTATAGAATCTGGATATATCCGGATATAAAGAGGATAACAGATATTTATTTGAAAAAGAGGATTACAAATCCAGATTTTTTTTTTTAAATCTCCAATCCGGATTTTATCTGGATTTAATAATAATAAATTATCTGCATGTATGATATAATCGATTTATGAAGCCTGTTTATTAAATTGATCTATTTATATAAGTTACTTGGGTAGGAACCGCGCAGTGGTTTAGTATCCTGTGGGAATAAAAGGCTTTCTTGTAATGAAAGAACAACGCGTGATGCAAATTAATTTCCTTTTCTAGTTAGCATAGTAATCTAATTTTATAAAATTTTTTCCGAGTCTCAATGATTATTATGATTATTAAATATTGCATTGTAGGCTGTCATTGTTATCATAGAATTTAATAATTGTATAATTGTTATCATGCAGTATTCTGTAAGTGTTCGTAGTATTTTTGGTTGGCAAATTTACCAAAAGCCTACTTTTAAAAATACTTTGCCACATATTTCTATCAGTCCAAATTAATGAGAGTTTGACGCGTTAACTAGATTAGATATGCCATATACGTATGCAATGCTTTTTTTTTTCAAAAAAAAAACTACATTTTTCTATCAGTCCAAATCAAAGCATTGTGGCAAGTTTAATATAAATGTCATTCGCTTATTTTAATTTTTTAGAAGTCAGTATTTTTTTTTTTATTCAGAATTGTGGATTTACCGAAAGTATTCAAAATATTTTTAGCAAACAGTTTTAACTAGAGATGCAGACATTTCTCAAGGGTAACTACCTTCTTATGGTATATAAAATTTGGGTAACTACCCAGTTATGGCTATGCCATATGTTATTTCACATTTTAATGTCTGCACCTTTAGTTTTAACCATGACTCGTAAAAGGATAACTCTTTTATATATGCATAATCGATTGTCCATCAGTTCATTGTAAAATGTTCGCCTAAATTCAAACAATAGAAATAATTGATTAGAATTATAATAAAATTTTTTTTTAAAAACAAAAATTTTAAAAGCCATTGTCCTGTTCAATAGTCTTTATTGTTCTATAATGAAGCAATATATTTCTGAATAGAGCCAATATTTTGTTATCGGTTCTATTTAAAGCCTGAATACTATAAAAAAAAAACAAAAAAAAAAACAAACACTATCAAAATAAAATTTTTTTCTGTACTTGACATAACAATGAATGCTAAAAAATGATAATCCAAAGACCATACTGACTCCAATGCAATATCGAATTCTGATACTAGTCCTGAGTGTAATGATACTTCTAGTAATGAATCATTAAGTGAAGATAATATTAGTGCGGACCTTAATATTATTACAGATCATTCTGATAAAACTAGTGATACAGACCATTCTAATAAAAATAATAATCCAAACCATTCTAATAAAAAACCTGGTAATAAACCTAAATTGTTAAAAAACCCTAGTTGGGTTTGGCAGTATTTTCGCTGAAGACGTCCATCACAAAAATGGAAAACACGTAGAAATTGTACCGTAATTGTGAAAAGTAAAAAGGTACCAAATGGACAACGGAATGTGGGCAGTTAGTTAAGACTCAGGGTTCAACTAGCAACTTTCAAACACATTTAAATACACATGGAATTACTAAACCTACCAAAGTTATTGATACAATCGAACAGCCAACAATTACTGAAATGTTCTATCGTGCTACTGGACAAAATACTCATCAAAAAGAATCCATCAATTATGCTTTGGTAGAATGGATAGTTACAGATTTGCAACCTCTTTATGTTTTGAAAAATGAAAGTTTTATTAAACTTATTCATACCTTAAATCTATATTACGAACTTCCATCTGATAAATATATAAAAGCACTAATTCATCAAAGTTATAATTATTCAATAAAAAATCTTAAAATGCTTCTAGCAACAGAAATAAAAACATGCGGATTAACATGCGACTTATGGACTGCACATTCTAAAAGTGGATATATAGGTGTTACATGTCATTTTATTAACTCTAATTATGAATTAAAAGAAGCTATACTTGCAATTAAATATGCTCCATATCCTTATGATGCTGTAAACATTAAAGCTGAATTAGAGGAAATAATTAATGACTGGGGGCTTTTGAAAAGATAATTTCGACTACCACTGACAATGCTGCTAATATGATTATGGCTATTAATTTAATGGGCGTAGATCGGGTTCCTTGTATGGCCCATACGCTTCAGCTTGCTATTGGTAAAGGGTTAAAACCTGCAGAAGTTTTAATAAAACGTGCAAAAAGATTGATTAA